ACACATTGGTCACGTGGTGTGCCTTTTGGTAAAAAAAAAAAAACTGCAATGTTATAACGAATTATTATTATAAAAAAAAAAAAAAAGAAGATATTTTAAAATGTTCCTGAAAATCATTGAAAGTCCGACGTTGAATATCAGCTGTTGTGGGTGGGTAAGTGTGGGTGGGTTAGAGTGGGTTGTTATAGATTGGGTGGGTTAGAGTGGGTGGGTTTAAATTGGGTGGGTTAGAGTGGGTGGGTTTAGAGTGGATGGGTTAGAATGAGTGGGTTAGAGTGGTTAGGTTTATATTGGGTGGGCTTAGATTGGGGTGGGGTTAGAGTTGTTATAATAAGGACTGGATGATGACAAACAAAGCTCAACTCTTTGATGATCGTCTTGTTATAAGACGTTTATTTCTAAATAAGTGGATTTCTGCTTTGTTTCCGTGGTCATTGTGCGCCGTGTGAAGGAGGTCTCCATCATTTCTTACCACGTCATGCGTGGCTCCGTTTGAAACTCGGTCCTGTAATTTGGGTCAAAATGACAACAACATCGGCTGCACCTGGGATACGTATATTTATAAAATTGAGACGACATCGGGTGTGGGAAGGGGTTCGGAAAAAAGGGGCAGTGCGGTCTGCCCCAGTAGACACTAACCCTTGCTACGCCACTGCGGGGTTATCTTGGACCTAGATGGGTAGGGAGGGGGGGTGAAACCATAGTTAGTGCCTGAATGTAGTTACGGTACGGCTGAAACCATAGTTGGTGCCTGAATGTAGTTACGGTACGGCTGAAACCATAGTTGGTGCCTGAATGTAGTTACGGTACGGCTGAAACCATAGTTAGTGCCTGAATGTAGTTACGGTACGGCTGAAACCATAGTTAGTGCCTGAATGTAGTTACGGTACGGCTGAAACCATAGTTGGTGCCTGAATGTAGTTACGGTACGGCTGAAACCATAGTTAGTGCCTGAATGTAGTTACGGTACGGCTGAAACCATAGTTAGTGCCTGAATGTAGATCCATCGTTGTGATGGGAGAGGCGATGGAGGCCCGTAATCTCTTTTTTTATATTCAAGGCTGGTCAACTTAAAGGGTAGTCAACTCAAGGTCTGGTCAACTCAAGGTGCGTTCAACTCAAGGTGGTCAACTCAATGTCTGGTCAAATCTAAGGGTGTTCAACTCAAAGGCTGGTCAACTCAAAGGCAGGTCAAATCAAAAGACGATCAACTCAATTGGTTGGTCAATTCAAAGGGTGGTCAACTCAATGGTTGGTCAATTCCAAGGGTGGTCAACTCAATTTCTGGTCAAGTCAAAGCCTGATCAACTCATAGGGTGGTCGAATCAAACTCTGTTCAAAGTGTGGATACGTAGCTATAAGAACATACAACACTACACCGGATTTCAATTTCCAGATAGGTAACATACAGGACGGAATATCTAATGGACAACCTGCCCAGACTCTCCCTTGGTCATGGGGCCCCGCTTCGGGGCTTACGAGGCCCTTGTATACAATCGTCTACTTTTCATAGGCAGTCTAGTTACCTGTACTTGACCTGCTGTCTTCTAAATCGGTTTATTTACATAACTACAACAATGTTACAGAGCTAATGCATCAAGGCCTTATTCCTGTGCTGCAATACACACAGACATTTTTTAGGACAACCCCCCCCCCCCTTAC